GAACACACACACAGACACACACACACACGAACACAGACACACACACACGCACACACATGTTGGCAATTAATGAACCACCGCAGCATGAATAATTTATCACTTTTTCATCTGAAAGTGAAGGTTCATGCAAGTAAAATTAATTTATTTTGACTGAAAACATTTCAGAGCAATATTTAAGTTGTTTTGTCATGAATAAATATGTATGTTTCATACATTTGGACAGATTTTGAGCAATTCAAAGGGAGACGACCTGCCGATGGGAGGATATTAGAGCCGCGCTTTCATTTGCAGAGAACGTCAGACTAAATGTGAGAGAATAGGCCAGACGGCCCTCAGGGGCCCGAACCCGTTCACTTCACACAGCCAAAGCATTACGGCTGGAACGATTAGAGGCCCTCAGAGCTTCGTTAACAGACAGACGTTAAACCCGGCGCTAATGACACGCTCTGACCATCAAACCAGGACCGCAGCAATTCATCCCAGAAGCTATTCATAAGAGCATTACTTGCTTGATTCATTGAATCAAATTATTTCCGGCATTTTACTGAAAATCTCATTATTTCTCATCTTGAGAATCGAAGGCCGTACCAAACGTCAAATCAGTGTTATTCGAGGTTCTATTATCGCTCCTGTTTATATTTTCATAAGTCTTAACTTTAATTTTAGTTTTGGAAAGTAATTATTATTAGTTTTATATGATCTACTTTTAGTTGTTTTAGTATTTCAACTTAAACTAAATGAAAATAACAAATGAAATAGCTGAAATGAATAACGTTTATTTTATTTATAAATGCTTTTAATGGATTTATTGTAACTATAATAACCTTGAGTAAAAAAATTATGTAGAGCATAAACATTCAGCTCGGACCAAACTAATCACACAAACATGTTCACTGATAAGTAGCAGCTCTAAATGTTTTAGAACTATCATTAATATTTTTATTTAATATATATTTATTTATTTTCGCGAATAGCGACTGCATTTAAAAGCCACTTTGACAGAATCCACTCCACATTCTGTAGGATTTACTTTTGAAATGTATTCATGTCTTTACAGTGCAGTCTGGATTTATTGGCAGCTCGTGGATTATAGCACTCTGAGTTTGTAGAATATATCTCAGAACGACTGTCTGGTGTGTTTTTAGTACCGTCTACGCAGGACGGAGCCGCTCTGGTGGTTCCTGCCACCTGTCCCGGGAAACACGAGCACTTGACGGTCAGCGAACGCTCCTCGATCTTGTTCTTATTGCAGCATCGGTGTAACGCCACCACCTCACACGTTCCCATCCGCACGTGATGCAGCACTGCAACACAACACAACCTTCACCACTTTCACTCAAATACACTGAAAACTAAACATATAGCATTTCTCGTTTGCACTCGGTGTAACTTGATGTACTAAAATAACTAAAACTGGAATATAAATGAATAAAAATTATAGAATAGAAATTTTTTTTAAATTCAAAAACTATTTGAAAAATTAAAAAAAAAGTTTTAACTAAAATTAAAATGAAAACAGATTCAAAAATAATTCAAAATATGAATAAAACTATAATAGTACCTCAATGATACTAAAACAACACTGGAACACAGTCATCATCATTGACATTATAAAAAAACTATGATTTTTTTTAAACTATAAAAAATGTGAAAAAAAAGACAAACGAGAAAGAAAAGGAAATATAAATATTAAAACTAATTTTAAAAATAATAAAAACCATGTAATTAGTGATACTAAAATAGCACTGAATCACATTCATTATCACAAACATTAACAACAACAACAACAACAAAAAAGCCTGTTTTTTTAAATACAAAATTAAAATATATATAAAGACGGAAAAAAAAATAAAAAACATGCAACAAAGATACTTCAAGAACAGAAAATGAAAAAAAAAAAAAAATTTTTATAAAATTCAAAAAATATATATTTTAAAACATACAACAAAAATATTACAGTAAAAGAAAACATAAAAAACGAATAACCACATAATGTTGATGATATTAAAATAAGACTGGATCACAATCGTCATCAGTGTGGTCAGTGGACGCAGTGAGGGACGAGCTCAGCTGAACTCCGTTCACACACACTTCGGTACGGATCAGGAGAGAAACCGCTTTCATGAAGCCGTGTGACAGTCACTGTCCTTCCTCCCGCTGAGCTGGTGATGCTCAATTATTCACACGCTGCGGCGCTCACTTTTAATCGCTGCTGACTTTTCTATGAGCCGCCTGTGTGTGTGTGTGAGAGTGTGTGCGAGAGTGTGTGTGTGTGGGTGTGAGTGTGTGAGTGAGTGTGAGTGTGAGTGTGAACACACACACACACACAGACACAGACACAGACACAGACACACACTCACTCACTCACACACACACACACACACACACACACACACACACACACATCAGAGAACGCGATCAGGACTGGATCTTCACAGTGTGCTTTCGTTTGATTAATTCGACGTGAACTTCATTTGCAGGAGTCAATTGGGAAAAATCCCAGGTTTTCTCATAAGACTCGAGCAGAAACCCATCCACACCAGAGCTGAGCCTCGTTAGTCGTCATGTAAACGATCTCACTCACACGGATGCTAATTACTGGCAGCTGGTCGTATTGCTTACACACGGGTTATGAACTGATATTCACCTTCTATATTCCATTACGGAGGTGCTGGAGATCTGACCGCTTGTTTCCGATCGGTATTAGGATTGTGGTTAACGAGCATTAGATCATCTGAGACTGACACACACACAGACACACAACACATTTTAAACTGAATATTGAAATTAAAATTGATATTGCAATTGATAATAACATTTTTTTTTAAATCTCTCTCTCTCTCTATAAATCAATTACATTATTACATTTAAATGTATTCAATTAATCATAAATGAATAAATACATTACTACAGTAATAATACTTTTTAATAATTGTTATTTGATTGTACAACAGCAACATTACAGCAAGATAAGAAACTTTAATAATTAATAAATACATATATAACTATATTAATAATACTATTTAATCATAATTATTATTATTTTATTTTACAAGATTAAAATTACAGCAAGATTAGAAACTTTTCAAAAAATAAATGATTTTACGAGTTACGTGTGTAAATGTGCGTATGAATATTAAATCTGCCTTACAAAAGGAGTTCCAGATGTTTTTGTTTTTGTTATTATTTATTCTTCATCTCTAATTTAATGTCTGTTTTCTCTACAACACAGATGTAAGCAAAGCGGACACACTGATGCTGTAATAAAATGCAAATTTAAGATTAAAGGTGAGAATAGTTTTTCACAAGCTGTTACTACAACATGAATTATCTATTAAACACTAAATCTGAGGTCGTACTAATATTTGTTCAATTAATAAACGGCGTGTAATTGCTTTCAAGCGTCTTCATACAGCATCGCCTTCTGATCGAATGACCTAATAAAAGTCTTTCGTTCGAGCGCCGGAGGGGAGAAACGCAGACTTATTTTCTCATTAAGAATCTGTCACACTTCTAATTGTGTGTTTTATTCTAAAAGCTCTTCATGTTTAATTCAGGCCTTTGTGTTGTACTGCAAACCCTCGGGACATCTGCATAATTGATGCACCGAACAAGAGAACACGCCGTTAAAGTTTTGGACTATTGCAAACATTAATAAACTCACATGCATCAGCGGGATGAATTATTAAAATGAGAATCTAGTCTGATTCAAAATGAGGCTGTCGGCACATGTTCCTTCATCGCTGCTCATTTCCATCGTGCCATTCGTCTTCGTTACATCTCTCAGAGTTCACAGGTCTCCATCCGACGGACCTGAAGCTGCGCTCTCTTCAGCCGGAGCCGCTTCAGAGCCGCTTCAGAGACGCTTCAGAGATGCTTCAGAGCCGCTTCAGAGCCGCTTCAGAGACGCTTCAGAGATGCTTCAGAGCCGCTTCAGAGCCGCTTCAGAGACGCTTCAGAGACGCTTCAGAGACGCTTCAGAGCTGCTTCAGAGATGCTTTAGTGACGCTTCAAAGGCTATGTTCACACTGTGAGCCTTAGTGCTCAATTCCAATTTTGTGCTCAGATCCGATTTTTTTGTACAGCTGTTAGGGATGTAACGATTAACCGCGAGCCGGTTGAAAATCGATTAAAATTGAGTTTAAATCAGAGCTTCTCTCTTAAAAGGACACATTTTCTGCCCCGTGTTTAATTTATCTACCCAACCTGGCAACCATTCGCAAGCGCTCTCTCTCTCTACACAGCGGAAAAAGATCAGAGAGTTTCTCTAAATGAGGACGACTACAAAACAAGTCATATATGATATAAGAGATCTGCACTTAAGCACAGACATGAACCGACTCCAGCACATCCATCGTATTTGATCATCAGGCTTTTATGGCTCATATAGTCTGATAGAGTGAGAATATGAAGGAAAAAAACAGCTCAGTTTTATTCAGAGGCTCCTCAGAAGATGTGAGATGTTCTGGAGGCTTGTGAAGATCACTCCTCCGCTGAGGAACAGTGAAAGTAAAGCTTCTGGAAACAAACGCTCCTCAAAAGATCCTGAGGATCAGATTTGAGACTCTAAAACATGATTGATGGAGAATCAAGTAAAGCTGAGCTGCTTCACTCCAGTAAGTGTTCATCTGGAGATATTACTGACGTTATTATAAACCAGCTAATCTCTTCTCTGTCCTCCATCTGCGTCTCTCGTTCCAGTGTGATGTTTCAATCAATGTCTGTGAGATTCAGTGTGCCACCGTTAGCTCTTCACCTCACACACACTAATCAATGTTTGCCTGTGTAACATGAACGCTCTATTTCTGATCTGCTTTTAATTGCTCTTTTTTGTGATGGCAGCATCAATAATGAATACGGTTCAGAAACAGGAAAACAATGTTTGCTTTAAAGGTGTCATCGGATGCCCATTTTCCACACGCTGATATGATTCTTTAGGGTCTTAATGAAAAGTCTGTAACATAGTTTGGTTAAGATTTCTCAACGGTAGTGTAAAAAACAGCTCTTTTCAGAGCAAGCCGTTTTGTAGCATTTTCCTTTAAATGTTAATGAGCTCTGCTGACTCCGCCCCTCTCTTCCGAGCCGCTGTTTACTTTAGCCCCATTCATCGTGAAACTTGCTAATTAGCACATTATTAGGAAAGGCGAGTATAAAAAACCTTATATTCACTTCTTCTGGAGGTGAGGCTAGATCATGAATGATTCGCGCGAACATAAACGCATTTATGTAGATCGTGGACGCATTCCCTTCAGAAACAAACGTAATCCACTGCGTCTTCAGCGGCTCAGATGTCGGGAGTAAATGACGACTGCTGTGTTCATTATTACATCCAACAACAGAACACCTCGATCGAAGTGAAGACGCCAGTCCAGTCTGTGCTGAAACACTACTGTCAATCAATTTTATGAATTGACTAGTGAAATTTAGTAGTATTTCTGATGAAAGGTGTCAGAAACGTGGCCTATTTTAACCATGAAACGACTTCAGCACACCGCGAAAATGATTTTTTCGTGCTATTTCTGTCTTGTTTTCCAGTGCAAATACCTACAGTACCTGAGAAGTAAAATGAGATGTTTTGAACAAAGTCAGGAAAAGGGCAAGCGGAAAAGAAATCAATTATTCATACTTCATTATTGCATTTTACTTTTTGCTTTGAATTTTTTGACAGGCATATTTTCTTTTCTAAAGGCAGAAGACGCAGGCAGTGCGCTGCATGAGACGAAAAAGTAATATAGCCAAAACCACCGCATAGCCGCTCTTTAGTGTAGATGCATGCTGAGTTTATCAGACGATGCTGTGATTATAAATGAGAGTGACTCCTGGATAACATGTATTAAAAGGGGTCATGTTTAGTCACTATTTAGTGCTGTATTTTTTGACAATATTCACTCATCATGACAGTAAAATAGTGCATTCTAAGTCAATATACTGCAGTATTTCCTCTCAATCAGTAGAAAACATGGTTAACGCACGCTCATGCATGAAAAAACAAATACCGTCTTGTACCGTGAAACCGGTATAATTTAGAAAAATACCGCGATATACATTTTTGGTCATACTAGTCTACAGCATTCATTCTCTGAACATCAGCAGCACTGGGGCTTGGAGATGTAGAAAACACGGTGATTAGTGAGCGCAGAACGACTTGCAGGAAGAGATTCTGACAATATTCACACTAGAGACTGGAGATGATCAATGCCACTCCAGAAAACTCGGACTAATGGGATGGCTCGTTTTATATCAAAACACAAATAAGCACACTCTCAAACCTGCAATGCAATGCAATAAATACAAATGCATTCACCACTTACAAAAAAATACCAGGGTATTACCATGCTTCTTTGAAATACCGTGTTATTACATGGTACTATCACAGCACTTCTACATAAAACTTGTTTATTAAAAACGTGTTTATTTCGTAATTTGTGTGTTTGTGCATTATCTACGTGCACTACTAGTACACTATACTGAATGATTAATACTGTATATTTATCTATATAAACAAAAATGCCAAACATCGAAACAAACCAACATCATTTGTGCTTTACGAAACTTAACAATGGTTTTACTACAAATAATAAAACAAAAAAACATGGTTATAGTTAAACCATGGTAACCAGAAATTGGTTTTGCTACACTAACTATAGTTTAACCATGGTATTTGTAGTAAAACTGTTGTTATACAAATGTTAATCAATATGCCAAAAAAAAGAAGACACTTTTACTTTAATAAAACCACGGTTCATTTGCGTAAGGCGTTTTATGTGTTAGCAAGAACGTCTAAAACTAAACTGATGGTGGCATTCACCAAATAATTAATCGATAATACATTTTTAACTCGATTTTATATTTCTAAACAGTTTTTTTGTGTTTGTATTCGGAGTTCTGATTGATTGATTGATTGACAGAACAAGCGGCATGAATGAGCTCGTACCTGCCGCACCTGCCGCTCCGGATCAATCCATCCGATCAGCTCGATCAGTCCGGCGGGAGATCGGGGTTTGGTCGCTCCAGGGTTCCGCTTCCTGTCGGTTCGGTTCGGGTCAGTCAGCGCCGCTTCACATGATTCAAAGGCAAAAAATAAAAAAGATGGAGAGAGAAACAAACGCAGCTCTTCCCCGAGCTTCACACACACTGACTGACTGAAATACACACACAGTCAAACCTCTCTCTCTCTCTCTCTCTCGCTCTCTCACACACACACGCACGCGCACGCACGCACGCACACACACACACGCACTCTCTCACTCACACTCTCTCTCTCTCACACACACACACACACACACACACTCACACACTCTCACTCTCACAC